CATCGGCAATCGCCCAAACTAAAACCGGCTCCCTCTTGTACTGTAATCATGGATGGCACAAGGGTTGAGTGGTCCGCCGAAGTAACCTATCTCGGGATGTTGTTCGATGAAAAGCTCCTCTTCCGTTCGCATGTAGAAAAAACAGTAGTCAAGTGTTCTGCCTTAGTTAGGTGTATGTATCCGCTGATTTGCCGCAGATCCCGCCTCTCAAGGGTGAACAAACTGGCCGTCTACAAACAAATCATAGCACCTGCGATCCTCTACGCAGCTCCGGTGTGGGAATCATGTGCACAGACTCACAGGAACAAAATCCAGGTCGCTCAGAATAGAGTGCTGAGGATGGTTCTTGATCGTCCTTTCGACACTAGAATAACAAATTTACATGAAGAGGCAGGCATTGCCAAAATAGATTCCAAAATTAACGAAATTAAGACTAAATTTGCACAAAAATGTAATTTATCAGAACATGCTTTGATAAGCAATTTGTATATAGTAGGTTAGGTGTATATAGTAGTTGTAGGTTAGTTGTAGTTGTAAATAGTAGTTATAAGTAGTCTTCTTTTTCAAATTTTCAAGCAAACCAATCCCACCAAGGTGGTCATTCTCTAAAACAGGCCTGATAGGACTAGGAACTGTAATTAATAATAATTGAAATTTCACAGGAACTAAAGTTGAAAAGACGCATCTGTGTCACTTGATAAGTTATACATGTAAACCACACAAATTCAAGAAATATAGATCATTTAAAGTCAAAAAAAAAAAAAAAAAAAGTCTACCATCAACTCATTTTCGCTTCGGACACCACGCCGTCTGCAATAGCAGCAGTAGGAAGGCGGTGGCTAGTTCACTCTTCTACATCCAACAAGCAACAATTGACTGGTCGTTACAAAGGTGGAAAAGATCTTGGTTAAAGAGGCGCCAAGCGTCATCGCATAATTCTTCGAGATAACCGCCATCCATCGTCTGGCTCGCCGTGGTGGTGTCAAACGTATCTCCGGTCTGATAAACGAGGTGTGCTGAAGGTGTTCCTGGAAAATGAGGTCCGTGATGCTGTCGCCTACACTAAACACGCCAAGCGTAAGTGGCCAAGGATGTCCTCTACAATAAAACGGCCTTTTCCAGGGCCAGGCCATCAAGCTTATAACAATAAAGAGTTGGAATAGAAATTATTTGTGCCTGTTTGTCCAAATTCAGAACAACAGACCCCCAACGACCATAGAAAATGCTCACCAGAGTTGTAACAACAATCAATACGAAACTTACGATTTAAAATTGGTTCACTACTTGACCAGCCTATTGGTCCCAAGCAAATCGACTAACGTACCCCATTCTAGTATAAATTCCAGTACTACACTATGTTTGTTTTGGTTCGCTATGAAAGTTTGACAGATACCAGAGCTGAGCCAAAAAGTTGAGCACGTTTCCCTATGGTTGTAATCTTGTAACCTAACTTGGAAGCAAGAGGTGCAAGTGATTTTGATTGATTCTCTTCATCAACTTTCTCTTTGAAAAAAAAAAAAAATACTACAAATTTGGTACGCCTACAATTCAAAAACGGAAAGAGTTAAGATAAAAGATGATTGGTCAATTAAAAGAACTAAATGACCTTTCTACTTTTTTTCTTGAAATATTGTCGGTTTGACCTATACATGCAAGCAGGGCGAAGGATAAAGCACAGATCTGACTATCGCAAGGTTCATAATTCGAGTCCGGTCAGCAGTCTCATGATGAAGTTATTTTTACCCATCTTCACTAACACACTCCACATTTTTCGGTCTCGACAACCAACACTTGTGGCCCGCTGGTTGGGTGTAGTGATTGTGACAGTTCTAACGAAACTAGCTTCATAAAATGTACAAATCAATTTCGTTGCGGATAACAACGAAATCCGTATAACTTAACGAGCGATTTCGTTGTTTCTTCAATTTTCCTAAATCTGTTTTAATGGCGCCGGTGGTGTAGTGGTAAGCGTGATTACCTCTCACCCCAGCAAGCCTGGGTTCAATCCCAGTAGGCGCCACCGGGATGTTCTGAGGCATAACATTTCTGATCATGAAAGTAAAGTAAAGTAAAGTAAAGCCGTTGGTCTCTGGTTCATGAGTTGATGGGTCGATAAGTAGGGTCCAGGTGTGGGAGCTGCCTCCCTGGCGTCGGTAGCATTGGTGCTCAGCACGGGAAACAAGATCGACGGAAAACAAATCAAGGAAAAAAACAAAAACTTTGAATTCATGGACAAGAAAATCATAGTTGTGGTAAATTGCAGAAGAATTAAATTTAAATTTAGTGCACAGGTAGACAAATGAGGCACGCGACTTTAACAAAATTGAATGATACTCACGATAATTATCTACTGTCTCTTGAAGTTCTGTTATGTTTCATGTGATAGCAAGAATCACTTACCGACTCATCAAAATGTATATCCAGAGCCAAAAAAAAAAAAAAAAAAAAAACTACGCGCTTCCAGTCAGAGGAAACCGAATCCCCAAGAAGCAGAATCTGTGCCAAGACCGAATGACAAGCAACTTCATTCTGCGTTCTGTTTTTCTCTGTGTGAAAAACTTGCTAACAATCTTTCGCTTCCGTCTGGCTGTCGTCAGAGTCGTAATAAAATTTATCGAAACAATGGTCGGTCGGAATAGTAAGCTGAACGAAAAAAAAAACGGGATTTCCTTTAGGGCTTTTCTCTTGCCCATTCTTACCGCTATTGGATTGACACAAAGAATTTCCCACCCAGCAGTTTCAAACACAAGGCAGGTACGTGGGTAGTTGGAACTTTTCTGGGCAGCCTGCCAGTCGCAACCGAATGGATGAAGTTGTGATGATTTGTGACTCATGGTTGAATTTGAATCACATTCAGTCGGTTGAGCATGGAAATAAAAATTCAAGATTTTTGCGAGTTTAACCCGAATTGCGTGACTTATGGCAGCACTATTAAATGCATTGGAATTTGAGAGACAAACATGATAGTTGATTCTAATTTAGCGTTCTTTGAGCGCTTTATCAATTGTTAATTGTAAGCCTTCTTATCCTGTACATTTTTAAGAGGGTTAAATTTGTTCACTCGGGTCAGAATAACTATACATCAAATATTCCTGAGAAATGCAAAATTTTCCATTAGCTAGTTTGCTGTCCACCATACTGTAAACCGGAGGGGAAACCAAACTCCATTAAGAATCAAGTATGCTACCGGCTTCCACCGGCGCATCGTTGTCGTCATCGTGTAGAGCTAACCACAGGTCGCCGTCATGCCACGGTCAAAAACCTTGCCTTTTGTTGTCACGCTGCGATTCGGAGAAACGCCGCTCGCTTGCAGATAATCGTTCTCTCATTTATGCACACTCACCGTTTTGCGCATTATGATGACCGAAGCTTAAGCTGTATAGGAAGACATCTTTCGCTGAATGAGATGCGACTCATTTTTGCTCGCTTTGCCCCACACACCGGCGCGGTGACCGGCAGGAAAGTACCTATCGAAAAACGGGGTTTCCATGTCAGTGGATCAATTCAAATTCCGATTTGCATATAATGATCTTCTACGGCTTCCTTCCTCAGTCGACCGACGGCGGTGACCCACGAAGACGACGGCCGGTGTCGGTTTCATCAGCAACATCACTTTTATCACACGTTTGGCCGTAGCCGCATGCATCGGATGATGGGAGAAGAGCATTCGTATCAAGTCGAAGAAAGTTGTCAACGATTTTTCATGCTTCTGCTGCGGTGGGGCTGCATCTTTGTTGTTGCTAATTGGGTTGCATATTTATTACCTACTACAGAGAGGTACCGGTTTATGCCGGAATCATTTTTGTGTGGATTCCTTGATGCCTGGTTTTAGGTAATATATATTCCATTTACGGTCAGTATTCTTACTACCAAAGATCAGACCGATCAGGAATCGGGGAAAAGCAATACCGGCTAAAATTCCATCCGCAAACAACGAAACCTCTCTGTACTGCCGCATCCATCCACACGAGTATGAAGAGAATGCCTTTTCCAGCGTTCATGGATTAATGCATGACGCGTGATGATGACTTGGATGAGAGTGTGTTCCGAAGTGGCTCTTGTGGCCCAGACCAGACATCATCAGCGGCTCAGTTTCATTTGTAGAAGACGCGAAGCAGGTATAAATGAGAGCGAAACTAATGAAAGTTGCTGTCGATCGGGTCGTTTATGTATGTTGGGTGGTAGGTAGAAGGTAGGAACATGTGAGCCGTCGTCGTCGTCGTCGTGTGAGGAAATATCATCGCTCTAGTTAGTTAGTTTGAAATCGAAACCAATGCAAATTGATTCGATTTCGGTGGATTTGGTCAACTTCGGGTGGTGGGAATTGGAACTCGAGGGGTATTGTGGTGATGGTTAACAAGCCGTGTAAAATTATTAGCATACAAGTTAAACAGAGTTTTTTTTTGTTGATCTACAGTGAATTTAATTAGTAAATCCGTATCTTGATCATCAGGGCCTCCCTTTGCTCAATCGGTTAAGGCACAGCTATCAAGCAAAACAATGTTGTAGGTAGCTGGGTTCACTTCCTAGTCTGGACTAGGTATATTTCGGGATGAAAAATCTTCCCAGGGCTAGAGTATGATTGTTCTTGCCACACAATTCAGTGTCAACATTTCAAAGGGGCGTAATTGCTTTTGTAAACAATGACTTTAGCCGTCAATTTCTCGCGAATGATATCTTACCTCTCCAAAATTACAATGCTAGCTGGTAGAGGAAACATTCCTCTACCTGGTGGTGTTATTATTTTTCATGAGTGAGCTTTTATTTGCGAGAAATCTATGGCTAAAGCCATTGTTTACAAATGCAATTACGCCCCTTTGAAATGTTGGCACTGAATTATACTTATGCAGAAATGGTACAGGTTTAGAATTTTCAACTGTGGAAGTGCTCATAGAACACTAAGTTGTAAGCCAGGTTAAAGTCCCAGTAGGGACGTAACAAAGCCAAAAAGCAAATATCTTGAACATGATCTAGTAAATGATTAATACAAAAGCTCATACCTTCGTGATAAACCGCGTGATTCTGGAAATAAATAAAACAAAATATGTATTATTAACATGAAAACTGTATTTTGCTCGATGTAACACAATATAATTACACAGATTTATCTTTAAGATAATTAAGTATGACGTCTTAACTAGATTTTTTTTTTCCTCGATTTGTTTTCCGTCAATCTTGTTTTCCGTACTGAGGCTACCGACGCCAGGGGGGCAGCTCCCTCACCTGGACCCTACCTATCGACCCATCAAGTCATGGACTGAGGACCACCGGCTTACTACTAAAGGAAGACGTCATCAGGCCTCAGAAAATCCCGACGGTGCCACTGGGATTGAACCTTGGGGCTCTTTGGAGTGAGATGCAATCACGCTTTCCACTACACCACCGGCGGCACCGCTGTGGGATCTAGATTTGCAAACAATAACGAACTGGTTACAGTTACAAACAGCGGTGCCAGGTTATATTTAGGAATATCTGTACCAGATAAAATAAAAAGTCTGGTTAAATCTGGAAGGCTCTGAAAAATCCGATCCATGTAAGAATCATTTTTATCATTTTAAATAAATGCTTTGGAAATGTTGGAAACTGATGTACCAATCTCCCGAAAGAATTGTTCAGTATAATCCTATGAAGTGTATTCAACGTAGGGTAAATGTCGGCTTCGGCATCCATTAATTGTTTTCGGCAACCAAAATGCAAATGTTAATTTCGCTGTATTCTCTAATCTAAACACTTTCCTTAATGTATTTGTTTATTGGTTCTATATCAACAGACTGGGTTTAGTCAAGAAGTAACAAGGTGCAAAGGCCGTGAAGTTCAACTTAATTCCTAATTCTCAAAAATATACCATGAAATCTCTGGCGCAGCGTCTCGCGTGCCAAGTGAAAAACAAGTAAGGAAGCAACACGATTGAAACCCCTTTGTAGCCCATTGATAGAACCATACGAACTATAGTTTGTACGACGAAAAGGTATCCTCAGCATTGCGTTGTTACGGAGTGCTCGTGGTTGAACGTCAACGTCGATATGTTGTAGAATAGAAGGACAATTGATTCTGCCCTGTAGAATGTCTGCCACAAACAGGGCCCTTGTCGTATCTCTTCGACTTCACAAAGGATCCAGGTGAATTACCTGGCACCGGCTTTCGTAGCTTGGAAGGCGATGAGGATCCCTCCAAGGCAATCGTCGAAGGGAAAACCAGATGAATCGTCGATGAATAGACTCTACTCTTTATACACTATTTTGGTAATTGGGATTCCAGCAGTATTCTAACACCGACCGGACGAGGGAGCAGTAAAGCGACTTCAAACAGTAGATGTCCGTGAAACTTTTAGCTATCCTGAAAATAAAGCCGAGCGTTCTGGATGCCTTGTCGATCACGTTCGAGATAAAGGGTGATACGGTCAAAATTTGGTCAATATCAACTTGACGTATTTCTTTCAATTTTGCATTAAAAAAACCTGAACACCCCTCATTTTGAAGGTGTGTGTGTGTAGAATGTTGCTCCTATTTTGATTTTGGAATTCACTCTTCAGTTGTCAAAATGCCGTCCAAGCAAGAAGAGCAGCGTATCAAAATTTTGCTCGCGCATCGCGAAAATCCGAGCTACTCGCACGCAAAGTTGGCAAAATCGCTAAAAGTTGCCAAATCAACCGTTACAAATGTAATTAAAGTGTTTGGGGAACGTTTGTCGACAGCCAGGAAGTCTGGATCGGGGGGAAATCGAAAACCGGAAGCCGCTGAGACGACAAAGAGAGTTGCCGGTAGTTTCAAGCGAAACCCTAACCTCTCTCTCCGAGATGCCGCAAATAAGCTGGGTGTATCGTTTACAACCGTGCATCGAGCCAAAAAACGAGCCGGACTATCGACTTACAAGAAGGTAGTGACTCCAAATCGCGATGATAAACAAAATACGACGGCCAAAGCGCGATCCCGGAGGCTGTACACGACGATGCTGACGAAGTTTGACTGCGTGGTAATGGACGACGAAACCTACGTCAAAGCCGACTACAAGCAGCTTCCGGGACAGGAGTTTTATACGGCAAAAGGAAGGGGAAAGGTAGCAGATGTTTTCAAGCACATGAAACTGTCAAAGTTCGCAAAGAAATATCTGGTTTGGCAAGCCATCTGTACCTGTGGCTTGAAAAGCAGCATTTTCATAGCTTCCGGGACTTTCAACCAAGAAATTTACGTGAAAGAGTGTTTGAATAAACGTCTGCTGCCTTTCCTGAAGAAACACGGTTGTTCCGTACTGTTTTGGCCGGATTTGACATCTTGCCATTACGGTAAAAAGGCCATGGAGTGGTACGCCGCCAACAACGTGCAGGTGGTTCCCAAGGACAAGAACCCTCCCAACACGCCAGAGCTCCGCCCAATTGAGAAATACTGGGCTATTGTCAAGCGGAACCTAAAGAAGACCAAAAAAACTGCTAAGGGCGAGTAGCAGTTCAAGGCAAACTGGCTTTCTGCGGCGAAGAAGGTGGACAAGGTGGCTGTACAAAATCTGATGGCAGGGGTCAAGCGTAAGGCCCGGCAATTCGGATTTGGAAAAGCGGAAGCCAAACTGAATATTTTTCCTGAATTTTATACTAATTGAACTTGAAAAAGAAATTTAATTTGATTTTTTAAATAAATGATTTCACCGATTTACACGCGTTTTCCCTTGACCAAATTTTGACCGTATCACCCTTTATGCTGGCTGTATGTGAGTTGACAATCTAAGATGACTCCCAGATCCTTAATGTGATTCACACGATGTACGTCAACGTCTTCTAGGATATAACTGAATGTAATTCTCGATAACTTTTTCCCCTATCTGATGGTAGTGTTAGTCTGCGTGGGCAAGCTAACAGCTACGCCAAATTGACGATCAAATGCATTGTTTACAAAAGCTGATACGTTCCTTTGTAAAAGTTATCGAGAATTAGATGTTTCTACTGTGAGAACGTGATTACTGAACATTTTGTTGGATTTACAACCATGCGGTTCAGTTGGCACCAGTTAGCAAAAGCGTTGAGTTGGAGTTGGAGAAGGTGGCAGTCAGCGATGGCTCTGATTCGGAAATAGATTTTCATGTCATCTGCGAACGACAGTCGTGGACCGTCAAGGACGAAATTGACGTCGTTGAAATACACAAGAAATATCAACGGGCAGAGGTGGCTACCTTTCGAAATACCCTATGTGGCAGGGAACGAAGGAGATCGGCAGTCGTCGATTGCAACTTCCAACTGACGATCAGATAGATAGGATGCGAACCATCGTAGCAGACTGCCTTTTATACCGAGCCTATCCAGTTTGGCGATCGCTATAGGATGGTTCAACTTGTCGAAGGCGGCTGATAGGTCAGTGTAGATGACATCTGTTTGCATATGGTCTGTCATACTCTCCGTAATGTACGAGGTGAGACACAGAAGGTTGGAAGTAGGCGACCGCCCTGCCATGAAACCATGCTGGTCTTCGCTCAAGTGCTGCTTTAAGTGAGAGCTGATTTCCAGCAGGAAGGAAACACCCCACTGGAGAGGGACATTTCGAACAGAAGGCAGAGAGGAGCCACCAGGCTATCGGATGTGTTGCTTGATAAAGACGGAAGGAACTCCGTCAGGTTCAGGCTTAAATGAAGACTTCAGTTGCGAAGCCGCCCTAGTTATCATAGCGAGGTCGACGTTGATAGTTGCCAAAGATTGACCAGACATTGGAACATTACTGGCCGGTAGAGAAACGTGCTCGTCAGGTAGGTTCTCTTCCGAGAATACACTCGCAAACTTGGTTGAGAACAGACGGCAAATGTCCTGAGGGGATGAAGCTTCTTCACCGTTCAGTACCTTAGTCGATGGAAGGCCAGACTCTTTTCGTTGCTCATTCACATAATTCCAAAAAGTTTTCGGGTGAGATCGGAGCTTCCGTTGAACATCTATTCAAACGATTCTTTAGTCTTTCAGCTTCAAACCGATTACACTTTTACGACTGAGCAATCCTGTTATGCCAGATTTGTCATTAAATCAAATATACAGTGTATATTTCATTTAATGAAAAATCTGGCATAACAGTATTGCTCAGCTGTATATTATACACACTACAAAATGCGGGTGATTTCGTGTTGCCCATAATAGAACAGCTGGTTAACACGCAGTTCAAATGGATAGGTTACCGAAGAAAAAGAGAGAAGTTTGGAGCGTTGTAAAAACGGTTTCAAACATTTTCAACAATTCTGTCGATTGGAATGGATAGATATAAAAGTAGCAAGGGCACTTCTTATATTGACGAGAATACGTAAATTCCCTTACCAGAATCTTTTTGATTACCATATGAATTACAAGTTCAAATAAATTATATAAAGCCAATAAGTTGTTGGCATGACTAAAACCATGAAAAAGTTAAGAAAATTTTTGGCACAATGCATCCAAAATGTTTGGATATCGATTATACATAATTCCAAAAATGGAGCTTAACCTTATGTGAAATATTTAAGAAAATATTCAATTTTAACTAGATGACGGGGGACGGTACTAATGGATATTTTTGGTCGCTATTGAAAATTTAGTCGTTTGCTGAATTTATGTAGGGGCCCAAATTAGGGGCATTCAGGCCGACATTACATCCATTTCCCCTATTTGAAAAGAAAGAGAGCAAAGAATCGAGCAACTTTTAATGATGGATTTATAAAGAATAATAAGTTTATCGTAATTTTTGACTTAGTCCTTACTATTTCAAGTATCTAGGTACAACTATATTATTTTCATAGATTTTATTAGTTCTTAATAATGATAAAAAAAAAGTTTGAAATTTAATATATCTCTAGACAACGTACAGTAAACTAGCAGGGAATTTAATTTTTATGATAAATTCATCCTTATGAAGCGGAAATCAAAGCTTCACTTCGTGGCACACATTTACAGTCTACCTAAACTACGCTTAACTCCACTAGTGACATGACCAGGCATGGAAAATCAATTGCATTCATTTCATACAATCATTTACATTCATTTTCGTCTAACTTTTTTCATCAACAGCATTCCGCAAAATAAT